CAAGAAATGCTACTGCCAATACATTAACATAAATTCTTCAAATTGCTATACATTTTAAAATCTTAAATCAACAAATACACCATCGAATCAGTGAACAAAGCTCATATTTTTACCTTGAAGGAACTAAAATCAATCGGAGTGAGTGGTGCTGGTGTTTTTGGTTCGCTCTTTGCAATTCGCTACCATTCACCGACGCAACCTTCCCTCTAACTTTAACTAAGTATTCCTTTTCCATGGCCCTCTACCTACACAAAAGATGATGGAATGAAAAGAGAGGGCGGAGTGGAGGCAACAACGAGGACATCCACCACACGTTGCCGCCCTTATGGTGCTGCTGCGTTGATGGCTCTAGATCTGGAGAGAAGATGAAGATAGAGAGAGGAGAGAGGAGAGAAAATGAGAGAGTGTTGTGATATATAGGTGTGGATGAGGGACCTTAGGTTACAAAAAAAAATATTGTGGACCTCTTCCATTACTAAAAGTTGGAGAGGGATGTTAGACGAAATATCCTTTTATTTTATCAGTCATTTTGTGTATATTATTTATAAAAAAAATTAAGTCGATAAGTGTGTTTTAAAAAATAAATCATATATTTTTTTTAATGATAAACACAATAAATTGAATAAGTTATGATTATCAAATCAATCTAATTTTTTGTGTAGATAATATACACGAAAATATTTTACAAAATGAACGTTCCGAATTATCAAAACGAGACCTGTAACCAATCTCACCAGCCAAATAGCACCTCTCCAATCCAAATGGACTGGGTTGTTGTGAATTCATTATCAATATGGAAGACATGTAATATGACGTAGTATATGATATATGAGTATGAGAAGGTCCTAACTAGGCAGGTAATGAAATGAAATGAAATGAATTAAGTTATTTTTCTAAAGTCTATAGCCGTTTAACAAAGTATTCTGTCAGTTGTCTTCTTGCACAGTTAATTCTAGTGTAGGGGATTATGGAAACCTTTATTTTTTATATCATTTCTCATTCAGTTTGGCAAAAAAGCATTTGGGATTTTGAGAGCTTACCTTTGAATACAGATAGCTAGCTAGCAAGTCACCATGGCTGTCCCGTTTCTTCTTCCCCCTGTGATTGAAAATCTGAACTCCTTGCTCCAAAATAAAGTGGCCTTGCTTTGGGGTGTCGACAAGGAGATGAAAAAGCTTTCAAGCACTCTCTCCACCATCCAGGCTGTCCTTGAAGATGCAGAGCAAAAGCAACTGCAAGACAAAGCTATACAGAATTGGTTGAAAGAGCTCAATGATGCAGCCTACGAGGCAGATGACATCTTGGATGAGTGCGCAACCGAAGCCCTCAGATGTGAATTAAAAGGCCAAGGTTATGGTTCTCTCAAGAAGGTAAGCACTTCTTTGTTAACTTGTTATCCTGTTCAGAATCTTCTGTTTCGTTACAAAATAGGGAACAAAATAAAAGAGATTACACAGAAGATAGATACAATTGCTGCTAATCGCAGTAAATTTCACTTGACCGAGGGAGTTGTGGTGGTGACACGAGTTGAATATGATGTAAGCCGTGAAACCAGCTCCGTTATCACTGAACCACAACTCTACGGAAGAGATGAAGATAAAGAAAAGATTGTCAAATTTCTGGTCGAGGATGTATGTGATATTGAGGATGTTTCCGTGTATCCTATACTGGGTTTAGGCGGTTTTGGAAAGACAACCCTCGCGCATATGGCCTTCTATGATGAGAGGGTCAAACCCCACTTCAATCCTAAAATTTGGGTTTATATTTCTCAAGATTTTGATGTGAAAAGGGTGATCAAAACAACAATAGAATGTGCAAATGAAAAAGCTTGTGAGGCAGTTGACCTAGACTCACTGCAGAGAAAGCTTCGCGACATGCTGAATGGGAAAAGATATTTGATTGTATTAGATGATGTGTGGGACGAAGATCCGGACAAGTGGAATGCGTTCAAGTATTCACTAGCATGTGGATCAAAAGGTGCTTCTGTTATTATCACTACTCGTGTTGATAAGGTTGCATCAATCATGGGAACTATTTCACCTCATCGCTTGTCAGTTTTATCCAAAGAAGATTGTTGGTTGTTGTTCAGGCAACGAGCATTTGGACTTGGAAATGAAGAACGCCCAAAGGTTGTCGCCATTGGGAAGGAGATAGTGAAGAAGTGCGGCGGTGTGCCTTTAGCTGCGAAGGCCCTCGGAGGGCTAATGCGCTTCAAAAGTGAGGAAAAAGAGTGGCTTCATGTTAAGGAAAGTGGAATTTGGAAATTACCCCAGGACAAAAATTCCATCTTGCCTGCCTTAAGATTAAGTTACTTTTATCTTCCATTGGAATCAAGACATTGTTTTGCTTATTGTGCCATTTTCCCAAAGGGTTTTCGAATTCGAAAGGAAGAACTAATTCATCTTTGAATGGCTAATGGCTATATTTCATGCAAAGGAGGATGGGAACCGGGAGATATTGGTGATCAGATTTGGAATGAATTATGTTTGATATCTTTTTTCCAAGAGGTGAAGGTCTATGGAAGTGATATATGTTTTGAGATGCATGATCTTGTGCATGATCTTGCCCAATCAATTATGAAGGGTGAATGTCAAATGATCGAGTTTAACAGTTCAAGTAATATATACAAGGAAAAAGTTCATCATGTAACATTGGTTGTCAGGCCTGAGGATAATTTTAATAACACATTTCACAAAGTTGTATCCTTACGGACATTACGACTGCAACGTCCGTCAAATTACACATTAGAAGATGAGTCTTTTTTGTTTGATTTCAGAATGTTTGGTTCACTGAGAGCTTTTGATGCACGGGGCAGAGTGAAAGAGTTGCCACCTTCAATTGGCAACTCAAAACATCTGAGGTATTTGAACCTCTCCCATTCTGGTTTCAAGCAACTTCCTGATTCAATTTGTAATCTCTTGAATTTGCAAACATTAATTCTAGAATACTGTGTCGAACTTGAGAGATTGCCCCAGAACATGAGGTACCTGAGAAGTCTCCGACATCTTTTTCTGTCAGGGTATCGGTTAATTGAGATGCCCCCCAAAATTGGGCAGCTAACTAACCTGAAGACATTAAATAAATTTGTTGTGCGTAAGAGCACTGATTGTAGTCCCCTAGCTGAATTGAAATGCTTAAACCTTCAAGGAGAACTTTGTATCTGGCACCTTGAGAGAGTGAGAAATCCGATGGATGCAAAAGAAGCCAATTTAGTGGGGAAGCAAAATCTTAGTCAGTTGCAACTAAATTGGGAATATGGTTTGGCTGAATGTGAATCACAGGAAAATGTTGAATCTGAATCTGAAAATGTTGATTCTGAAGCACAGGGAAATGTTGAATCTGAAGCACAGGAAAATGTTAAATCTGAACTAATTCTTGAAGCCCTTCAACCTCATCCAAACCTAAAGGAGTTGACTTGACCGAGGGAGTTGTGGTGGTGACACGAGTTGAATATAATGCAAGCCGTGAAACTAGCTCCATTATCACTGAACCACAACTCTACGGAAGAGATGAAGATAAAGAAAAGATTGTCAAATTTCTGGTCAAGGATGTATATGATAGTGAGGATGTTTCCGTGTATCCTATACTTGGTATAGGCGGTCTTGGAAAGACAACCCTCGCGCAAATGGCCTTCAATGATGAGAGGGTCAAACCCCACTTCGATTCTAAAATTTGGGTTTATGTTTCTCAAGATTTTGATGTGAAAAGGGTGATCAAAGCAACAATAGAATCTGCAAATGAAAAAGCTTGTGAGGCAGTTGACCTAGACTCACTGCAGAGAAAGCTTCGCGACATGCTGCATGGGAAAAGATACCTGATTGTATTAGATGATGTGTGGTATGAAGATCCAGACAAGTGGGATGCGTTCAAGTATTCACTAGCATGTGGATCAAAAGGTGCTTCCGTTATTGTCACTACTCGTGTTGATAAGGTTGCATCAATCATGGGAACTATTTCACCTCATCGCTTGTCAGTTTTATCCAAAGAAGATTGTTGGTTGTTGTTCAGGCAACGAGCATTTGGACTTGGAAATGAAGAACGCCCAAACGTTGTCGCCGTTGGGAAGGAGATAGTGAAGAAGTGCGGGGGTGTGCCTTTAGCTGCAAAGGCCCTCGGAGGGCTAATGCGCTTCAAAAGAGAGGAAAAAGAGTGGCTTCATGTTAAGGAAAGTAAATTTTGGAACTTACCCCAGGACAAAAATTCCATCTTGCCTGCCTTAAGATTAAGTTACTTTTATCTTCCATTGGAATCAAGACATTGTTTTGCTTATTGTGCCATTTTCCCAAAGGGTTCTCGAATTCGAAAGAGAGACCTAATTCATCTTTGGATGGCTAATGGCTATATTTCATGCAAAGGACGATGGGAACCGGAAGATATTGGTGATCAGATTTGTAATGAATTATGTTCGATATCTTTTTTCCAAGAGGTGAAGGACGACATATGTGGTATATGTTTCAAGATGCATGATCTTGTGCACGATCTTGCCCGATCAATTATGAACGGTGAATGTCAAATGATCAAGTTTAACACTTCAAGTAATATATACAACGAAAAAGCTCATCATGTAACATTGGCTGTCAGACATGCGGATAATTTTAATAACACATTTCACAAAGTTGTATCCCTACGGACATTACGAGTGCAATATCCGTCAATTTACCCATTACGAGATGACTTTTTGTTGTGTGATTTCAGAATGTTTGGTTCACTGCGAGCTTTTGATGCACGGGGCAACGTGAAAGAGTTGCTACCTTCAATTGGCAACTCAAAACATCTGAGGTATTTGAACCTTTCCCATTTTGGTTTCAAGCAACTTCCTGATTCAATTTGTAATCTCTTGAATTTGGAAACATTAATTCTAGACCACTGTCGGGACCTTAAGAGATTGCCCCAGAACATGAGGTACCTGAGAAGTCTCCGACATCTTTTTATGTCACACTGTCAGTTAATTGAGATGCCCCCAAAAATTGGGCAGCTAACTAACCTGAAGACGTTAAATAAATTTGTTGTGGGTAAGAGCACTGATTGTAGTCTCAGCTACCTAACCTGAGGATTCCAATCTTTGGAAGAACTCAAAGTTTACAATTGTCCGAAATTGGAAGGTTTGTCAAGGGAGGAGGGAAGAGAGTTTTTCCCTCGTCTTCGTGTGATAGATATTGTTCATTGTCCTAAATTGAGCTTCCCGCACCTTTCGGCTCCCAAAGAATTGTCGTTGGCTGGCGAGTGCACCATGGTGCTAAATTCAATATCAAATCTTAGTAGTCTCACTTCCCTCAGTATTGGTTTCGAGACGGTTTGTTTTCCAAAAGAGTTTCTGAGGAACCTTACTCTTCTTGAGTCACTAGTGACTGAGTATTGTCATAGCCTTAAAGTGTTGCCTGGAGACCTTGCAAGCCTTGTCACATTGAAGTCATTGAAGATCGAACGATGTCCAAAGCTCGAGTCTTTGCCAGAGGAAGGGCTACGAGGCCTTGAATCTCTCCAATCGTTGCACATTATCGACTGCTGTGAACTGGAAAGGCGATGTGAGAAGGGAAAGGAGGAGGATTGGTATAAGATTGCGCACATACCCGAAATCACAATTGAGGTATATGATTCTTCTTTTGCTCATTCTATTACTAGTTGGTTTACAACTGTAACACACTATATTAAATAAATAGCCAAGAGTAACCCATTTATCAATAAATAATTTTAAAAAAAATTCACCAAATAATAAATTAACATTCACCTTAATTTGTTCAGTTCCTAAATTTGAATTTGTATATTTTCTCCAATTCGTAGAAGTTGTTAAACAAATTAATCTCAAATTGATTGAGATTTCAACAATAAGGCTCTGTTTGTTTTGTTATAAAATATTTTTCATGTAAGGTAATTTTGTCCAAAAAAAAATTTTTATTTTTATTTTTAGATGTTTGGTTATCACTAAAATATTTTCTCCAACAAAAATATTAATAAAGAATTAATTATAGAGTAAACTTTAAAAAGAAAAAAAAATATACAAAGATAATATTCATATATATAATTTTCGTTTAAGATTAAACATAAATGATGTGACAACAATACTCTTACAATTATGAATTATAATAATGAAAATTATGTTTTTAATGAGTGGATATAAATGAAACATACCATTATATATAGATTTTTTGTATACAAATTATGTTTGTATATCATTATTCAAGGGATAAAAGACAGTTTTAGTCTCTCAACCTTCAATTTTGTCATTTTGGCCCTCAAAGTTATCAATTTGAGTCAATTTAGTTCTATCTCTAACGTTTGTTTACATTGATAAAGGGAAAAATATTTTATCTTTTGGTAAAAGATAACTTTGGTCCCTAAAGTATCCATTTCTTGTCATATTAGTTTCTTAAGTTTTAAATTTTGTCATTTTGGTTCTCAAAATTGTTAATTTAAGCTATAACCAAATTGACAACTTTGATAACTAAAATGACAAAATTTAAAACTTGAGAGACTAGAACAACAATAAACGAATATTTTAGGGACCAAAACTATATTTTATTCATATTCCTATTATCCATGTAGACTCACGTTAGACCTATGACTAAATTGACTCAAATTGACAATTTTAAGGACCAAAATGACAAAATTAAAACTTAAGGGATTCAAATTGATAATTTTAAGGACCAAAATGACAAAATTAAAACTTAAGGGATTAAAATAAAAAAACATCACATATTTTAGGGACTAAATTATCTTTTATCCTTATTCAAGAATAAAAGAAGACAAGGATTGAATATAACAAAAATAATAACCCGAAACCTTAACTTTGAACCTTAATCTTGATCAATTGCTTAACCATAAAATATATATATATATAGGTATATATATACATATATGAATGTAGAGAGAGAAAGAGAACAAAAATATTCAATGTGTATGAAAATAATGAGATTTGATATATATACACATCAAATAGTATTAACCATGATATTTTATGGCGAAATAAACCTATCCTAAGACATTGGGTGTAATCATGCACCAGGACTTGTGTGATGAATAGTACCTCTTATGACAAACATTTGTCATAAAATTGATCAAGCTTGACATGTTTTGCATGATTCATAATTGAACTTCAATTTTCATTGTCAATCACAATTATTGGCTAAAAATAGTTACATATTTTCTTTGAATTGTTTTTTGTGTTTTTTAAAGAAAGCTTGCCCAAAGAAAATTTTCAAATTCAAGTGTATCCGAACTACTTGAATTGAAAGAATTCATCTAATGGTTGGTTTATTTAGTTCTAAACCTGGCCTTATAATAGCAAAATCTGAGCTAAATGTTCTTCCAAGCTCCTTTCCATCAATATGGTCGACTACTTCTTTAGCTTTTTTTATAGCTCTCATCGTCTTACCTATGTTTCATCAATGATGCATACATACATAATTTGTGAGAACAATCGTTACAAAATGGTGGTCAGCATATCTAACCTTCACCTAGTTCATATACAAGCAGGACAAATTAATGTAACAAATTATTTGAAGAAGGCAAATCATTTGTTTTTTTGAACCTAATTATGTTTGAAGAACATAAATCATTTATTTATTTTTAACCTGACCTATCTAAGATGGTCTATTCGGATTGGTTTTGCTTCAAAATGGCCATAAATGTCTAAAGTTTACTTTCTATACTGCTGATGGTATGAATTTGTGGTCACCTATGACAGTGTGGCAAGCACCCTAACCTAGGAACTTGAGAGCTCATTGCGTCCTCCATGATTCAGAGATTGTACGTTTCATCTTTATAGGTTTTTGTTTTCTCTTGTTTTTCTATGTCATTGGAGGTAATATAATTGCTTTTGTAATAGCAGGTGCTGCCATGCTCTTTGGGTCACGATGGCTGCTGCTAGTATTGAAGTGGCTGTGGCATCGGATGCTTTGTTGGTGGGAAGGTTTTGGGTTGTTCATGGGTATGAGATTATCTAATAGGAGGTGGATCAAGTCAATTGTTCTGTTATCCAACTCTGCTATGTTAGTTTCTTTTCTACAAAATAAAGATTAAATGTAGACCATATTTTTCAGTGTAATAATGTTCATTGCGGTGGATATTGGGAGCTCTAGCATGCCATATGACCAGTTTTTGTGCCTTTTATTGTTTGTGATGATTTGAAATTCAATTTCTGCGGATAATTATTTGTGAGAATGTTAATTTTAAAGTCTTTTTACTTGTGTCATGAGTTGTGTGGATTATAGCTTGCATAAACTCTACAAATTAATTGTCACCGTGTATGGAACTCCACGTGGAACACATTTGCACAGGTCACACTTGATGAAGTGTTCATTAGGGGGGCGACCGCCAATGTTCCAATGCCAAGTTGGTAGTGACCTATTTCAAGGCTGGGACTCGCTGTTATAATGAAGAAGGATGATATTAACACTATCTAGCTAAAATACTAAACCTCCTCTTGGATTTTCAAAGCTATACATGTCTAAATTGACATGAACTCATAAGCTCCCGTGTCTCTCAAAGGGTAATAGAAACTCTGCACAGCATATTGAAAATGTCTAAAATCAAGGAATACACAGGCCCTGAGAAATTTCCTTTCATGTCAGCCCTCTCCATACACCAATTGGTTGTGTAATGAATGCAACAAGCTAGTATTTATATTGGTACCAAAATCAAGGATTAAAGAACAGGACACAAACTATTTGAGAGAAGAAAAAAAAAGAAAAAAAAAAAAAGAAACTCCATATTCATCTTGTTCATAAATAACAAAATTTTCAGTTTTCACACTGAAATTAACAAACAATTGCTTAATGTAGTTATAAATCTCACCTAGAATGTACATATGAGCTAAATTTTCATGGTGTCCATTGATCTGTATGGGGAACAACATGGTAAACATAGCATCGCTAGCCCAGAAACTCATTCTCTAAACCATAGCATACATATATATATAGTTATGTACAACTTTTATTCTGACACTATTCGCTGTTGATTCAAATGGTAGGGATTGGTTCTTCACTCTTTCTAACGGTATTCAAGCTAGGCAGTTTGGCTGCTCCGCAAGAAAAGAATGCCATTATTTTTGACAACTCATCTGCTGTTTGAATCGCTGAATACCAGGAAAAAAATCAAATATAATACAATTATTATGATTCAAGGCTGAGGCTGTGTCAAGAATATAATTTATTTACTAGAAAATTTACCTTTCTCACAGTATAAGATCTTTCCAGCTTTAGTGAAGATAAGCTCTGGGAAGATGGACACTTGTAGAGCAGAGACCAAATCAAGCTCAACAACAGCATCTATTGCAACACACTGTTTGGTAGTTGAAAATAAAATAAATGTTAAAAGGTGGGATGATGAGAATAAAAATAAGTAAATGGCTTTACTTACTCTTGGTGATGGTAGCCGACAGT